GGCTTTGAACTTGCAATCATACTTGTCTTAACCTCCTCAGCCACTGGAATTACAGGCACATTCAGCTTCCTTGTTTTGTTTTGTTTTTTAATATTTATTTTTTAAGTTATAGGTGCACACAATATCTTTATTTTATATTTATGTGATGCTGAGGATCAAACCCAGTGCCTCATTCATGGTAGGCCAGCCCTCTACCTCTGAGCCACAACCCCAGCCCTTTCCTTGGTATTTTTTACTTAAGCAATTATGTCATTTTATTTCCTCTTTTCTGATTTGTATGTCTTTTCTTTCCTTTTTGTACTTGCTAGAACTATACTATGTAAAATTACTGAGTAAAAGTGGAGAGAGAAAATCTTGCCTTTTTACCATTTTAGGTGGAAAGAATTTCTTTCATTGTTAGCTGTGGAATTTTTGTAAGTATTCTTTATTAAGTTGAAAAAGTGTATTTTTATATTTCTACTCTTCTGAGCTTTTTAATCTAAATGGGTATTGAACTTTGTCAAAAGGTTTTTCTTCTTCAGTTGAAATAATTATATGGTTTTTCTTTTTTAGCCTTAGACCTACAAAAGTGACTTTTCAAATATCAAATAATTCTTGAATTCCTGGATCTGAACTGGTATTTCTACTTGGTCATATTTTATAATGCCTCACATATAATATATTATTTTTACATATTACTGAATTCTATTTGCTAATATTTTGTTAAATATTTATTTATCTATATTCTTGGGCTATATTCTGCGTGTTTGTTTATTTGGGCTTTTTTTGTACTGTCCAAAGTCTTATTATCAGAGTAATACTGGCATTATAAAATAAATTTGGAAGTGTTTTCCTCCTCTTCTACTTTCTAGAAGAGAATGTGCATTGGTGTTAATTCTTCTTTTCACATATGGTGTAATTCTCCAGTGAAAGTATCTGAACCTGGAGATAACTCTTTCGGGAGTTTTAAAATTACAAATTCATTTTCCTTAAGAGTTATAAGATACAGGGCTGGGGTTGTGGCTCAGTGGCAGAGCTCTCGCCTAGTATGTGTGAGGTACTGAGTTCGATCCTCAGTACCACAATAAATAAAATAAAAATATTGTGTCTGTCTATAGCTAAAAAAAAAACTTTAAGCAGTGTTTGTCAATTTTTAAAGATGTGTTTGTCAATTTTTCATGTCTTTAACAAAATATGTGAAATAATGAATTTATAAAGAGAAAGGGTTTCTTTTGGCTCACAGATTTGGAGGTTCTGGTCAATGGTAAATTGGCTCCATTCTTTTGGACTTGTAGCTTAGGCAGTACAAACCACTTATATTAGAATGAGCTGCAGAGTGAAAAGAGCAAGGTGGAACCAGGATCTCACAGTCCCCTTCAAGAGCACACTCCAGGTACCCAAACACCTCCTGCTTGTCTCTACCTCTTAAAGTCCCATCATTTCACAGTTGCACCATGGTGAGGCCAAGCCTTAACATATCATCCTTGGGAGGACATCCACCATCCAAAATATAGCACGTGGCTATTCAAATAATCTCTTTTCTATTATATAAGTTGTGGTAGTTTGTTCTTTTTAAGGAATTATTCTGTTTTATCTACATTTTTAGATAAAAAAAATGAGAGTTGTTCATAATAATCCATTACTAACCTTGTGATGTCTGTAAGGTCTGTACTGATCTTTCATTCTTGATATTGGTAATTTGTATCTTTTTTCCTTTGTCAGTCAATTCATTGATCACTTTAAAGAACCAACTCTTTATTACATTTTTTTCCTCTGGTGTGTTCTTGTTTTGAATGTCATTAATTTTTTTTGCTCTTTATTGTTTATTTCCTTTCACCTGCTCTGGGTTTACTTTGTTCTGGTTTTTTCTGTGTTTTTTATTTAAGAGCATATTTGACTTGGTTCTTCCTCTTTTCTAATGTAAGTTTTAAGTGATATAAAATTCCCTATTGTTATCACTTTATTTTTCACAGATTTTAATACATTAATTTTTCATTCTCATTCAATTCAACGTGTTTTTTTTTTTTAATTTTCATTGTACTTCCTTTTGACCCATTAATTACTTAGAAGTGTGTTGTCCCATTTCCAGTGTTTGAAAAATTTCGTATTACCTTCTGCTATTGATTTCTAGTTTGATTCCACTGTGATAAGAGAAAATATTGTATATGATCTTAATTCTTTTAGGTCTGCCTGTTGATTAATGGTTTGTTGTGTGGTCTTTATCCTTGCCTATATTTTCTTTAGTTGTTCTATCAGATGTTGACAGAGAGATGTTAAAATCTTCAACTCTAATTATGGATTTGGTGATTTTTACTTTCAGTTTTATAGTTTTTGCCTCATGTATTTTGAATCTATGTTGTTGGGTAAATACACATGTAGGATTACTAAATGTTCTTGGTGGATTGACCTTTTTATCATTAGGTAATACCTCTCTGTGTAATAAGGCATTTTCTTTGCTCTGAAGCCTACATCATCTAATATTTGTGTTGCCTCCTCATCTTTTGATTATATATCATTTCCCATTCTTTTACTTTCATCCTCTCTATTTTTAAAGTAAGTTGCTTATAAATAGCATATAGATGAATTGCTTTTTTTTTGTATTGAGGATTGAATCCAGGGAGAGCTTTATCACTGAGCTACATCTCCATATCCTCAGTCCTTTTTATTTTTTGTTTTGAGATAAGGTCTTTCTAAGTTGCTGCTTCTGATCTTAAACTTATGATTCTCCTATCTTAGCTGGGATTCCAGGAATATGCCACCATGCCACACGTACTTATAATTTTTAAAGTTATTTTAATGATTGCTTTGAGAATTACATTATATATACATAATTAGTCACAGTCTACTGCATCAACATTTTGCCAGTTTGAGTGAGATATGAAAATGTGACCTCCCTTTGTATTATTCTTTTTATAAAATGACTGTCTTTAATATTTCCTCTGCATACCTTTAGAGCCACATTAGACAGTATAATAAGTTTTGTTGGAATCATAATTTAGAAAATTTTAAAGTAGGAAAACCTATTGTATTTATCTATATTATCTTACCCTTATTGTCCCATTTTTATTTCTACCTCCCCACAGTTCCTGAAGCTATGTTGTTGGTTGGTTTTGTTTCGTTTTTTTTTTTCCAGTCAGTTTTCCCTTTTATTCATATTGTATAATTTCTTTTATTTTATGTAATTATTCACTGATTCTTTTCTCTGTTCCGTCCACTCTACTGTTGAAGCTATCCTTTGGATTTTAAATTTTTATCATCTTATTTTTTAGTTCTGAAACTTGTTTTTAACAAGTATTCTATTTGTTTCTATTTCTTTGCTGGGACTTTATCTTTTCATTTGTCTCAAGTGCATTTTTAATTAACTCATTGAAAATTTTTATAATGGCTGCTTTAGAACGTTTTTAGATACTTCTAACGTGTGTCATCTCAGCAATAGCATCTATTTATTAGCTTTTTCATTCAAGTAGAGGTTTTTCTTGGTTCTTAGTATGGCAAGTGATTTTTAGATGGAAACCTGGATATTTAAGGTATTGTGTTATGAGATTCTGGATCTTACTTATCCTTTTTGGATAGCTTTATCTTCCACTTCTTTGGTAGCAAAAGATAGGGGAAGATTGTTACTATCACTTGACACCTGAGACAAAGAGACTCATTTCTGCTAAGCAGGGGTATGAATTCCAGCTTCTAGGCCTCTCCTAACACTACTCTGTCTGGTTGCTATCCCTCAGGTGGCTTCCACTGATAACACTGTGAGCATGGGAAGATAGAGGGTAGTTTTAGTATCACCGGACAGTGGTGACAGTCCTGACTTTTCTTTAGACACCCTCTGGCACCATCCCAGAGGTTATTACTGTGGAAGTGAGGTCCAGCAAGTATCTCTTCACACCATCCTGACCTAGCTTTTGGAAACCCCTCATTATAACCCAGTAAGTATGGAAATTCAGGCTCCACACTTGGCCTTTGCTCGCATGCATAGAGACAGGTCATCGTTTTTCTTTGGTGTTTGACTAGAGTGGAAAAATTGTCATAAAAGAGTTTTCTGTCTTGCTAAGCTAGGCCTTTCCTTTAACTCTTAATTAGAGAAAGCAGTCTTTTGTTGGTGCTCTTTTTCCCTCCATTGCTGTTTCCAGGTTGCAAGCTTCTTCAATATCAAGTCTGAGATATAAGAGAGACACCAAAGAAATTTCAGGGACTTCCTGCTGTGTAGTTTCTCAGGTCCTGAGGTCTCTAGGGTCTAGGCTTTCAGTATCTTCTTATGTTTACTTTATATACAATGTCAGGCAGAGCAGGAAAAAGTATGTCTACTCCTTCCTTTCGGAATCCAGAGTCCTCAAGTTTTCTTATTAACAGTTCTTCCCCCTTTGAGGAATGGGCATTACATTGAAATGTTTCATTGCTTCAGAGGACAGAGAGGAAACAGAAGAATTTTCTCTGGAGTATTCCCACACACCTTTTCTACTTCAGTGTAGGCAATTTCAGTGACTGTGGTCAGTTTGATAGAAAAAGTAGAAGTAGTAGAAGTTCCTTCAGCATTTAATGTCATGTTCTTTGAGATAGGAGCTTTTGAAATGTCTGAAGGCTTTATCTGTAAATAACAATTCACTGGGCAGTTTTTGAGCTTATTTTTATATAGTCTTTGCTCATTCTGTTTTTCCCTAAGAATCTTGAGGCCTGTCCTGAGGAAGCTCAAGCCTAAGACTTAAATGGTCTTTATCCATTCTTGACACTGGGCATTCACTGTGAATGTAAAGCCAGATCCATTGACAGTTTCCCTCAAGCAATAGAGACAACACTCACTCTGCTGGCTAGTCTAGTCCTAGCTCTCTGTTTTTAGAGATGATGATTACTTCATCTCTGGCCTGGTTGTAGCTGTCCATCATTAGGGACAGCTGTCATTTCATGGACTGGCCTGGTTTTAGTTATCAATAACTGGTGTATCATTGCTCTTTGCATTTCTGATTTAGCAAAATATAAGAATTCAACATTGCAAATAAACTGTGAAATTTCTTTTTCTTCTCTAGGCAAAAACTTATTATCCCAAATGGAAGTTGCCCTGTTATTCTGAATACTTATTTCTGTCAGAAAGTTGTTGCCAAAGAAGATGCAGAAACAACTCACAAACTATACTGTCATGACATACTCCTTCCAAGAAGAAACATCACTTTGGCCCAGATGTTTAAAATTAAGGATCTATCCAATAATTCACCTGAAAGTCAGGTAAACTCTCATTGGCCCAGAAGTTTTGTGCTTGTAATCACATTGGTCGCTAGATTTTAATGGACCTAGGATGTTCACTTTTTAACCCCCCCCGCCCCCATAGATAAAGTTAGAATATCTTATTGTTGTGCTTAAAGATAGTATCATTCAGGTCAGCATTTGGTTGTGGTTTTCTTACAGTTTTTTATCTTTCTAGTTATGTATTTTTTAATCTTTATTCTAATGTATTACAATGTATGAAAGTATTTTCTCTGTTCATATCTTATAACTTAAAATGTTGTTTAAGCCCTTATTTATTTATTTAAAAAAATTTTTTTCATAAGAGCCATATCCCTTGAGTCCCTTGAGATAGAAAGAGCTGTATAAGCCTGAGATTACATACTAAAGGTTGATTTTTGGAATTTTTTTGGCCCTGAGCCCTAGTCATCTGCCAAGATGAATTTAGAGAACCACTAAAATTCACTGAATGTGAGCATGATGTGTGCCCCAGGGACATGCTCAGCTCTGAGAGTCAGTGTTGCTGCCAGTGCTCTGGCTTCAAACTCAGTGGGTTACGGGAATCACCACAGAACAGAATGCTGAGACTGATAGGGTAAATAAGAAAGAAAAGTAGACAAACTCTCGCCCTGTTTTTTATCATATAATCAAGCAAAAAATTTCCCATTGACTGTTAAAACAAGTATCTGAAGGCGTTTATGTGAAAAGGAGAGCACTTTTATCAATTTAATTATAACATTTTAAATATGGCTTAAATGGGGTTGGGGTGTAGCTCAGTGGTAGGGCACTTAGCTAGCTAGCATGCATAAGGCCCTGGGTTCTATCCCCAGTGCTACATAAAAAAAATAATAATAATGAAAAATAAGAAGAAGAATGATCATACACATATATAAATATAAAACAAATATATTATACATGTATTTACTTTATAAATATATATTATAAATATATAATGTGTAAATAATATATTAAAAATAAACATTAAGTAGATGTACTCATTAAAAACATGATTCAAAGTACATTTTGGGGGGGCTGGGATTGTGGCTTAGTGGTTGAGTGCTTGCTTCGCATGCATGAGGCACTGGGTTCGATCCTCAGCATCACATAAAAATAAAATAAAGATACAAAAAAAAGTACATTTTTTGTACTTCCATTTTTTTATTAGTTCTTTTTAGTTATATTTAACATTAGGATTCATTTTGACATAATTATAAAAGCATGGAATATAATTTGCTTTAATTCAGTCCCTAGTAATTCCCCTGTCCCTTCCCTCCTCCCTTCCCCGTTCCCTTCCCTGTATTCATCTGATCTTTCTGCTAGTTACTTATATGCTTTTTTAATTAGTGCCTTGTGGATATACATAAAGATGAGATTCACTGTGGTATATTCATATGTGTATATAGGAAAGTTAGATCAGATTTATTCCACTATTCTTCCCTTATCCTGTCCCTCCTTCCTCTCCCTTAATTCCCTTCCTTTACCCCATTGATCTTTCTTCTATTTCTATGGAATTCTCCCCACCTTTTCTTATCTTTTTTTTTCCTTCTTCCATAGATCAGAGAAATCATTCAATCTTTAACTTTCTGGGTCCAGCTTATTTCTCTTAGCATGATATTCTTATAACAGTGTCAATGAGGCTGCCATGTAGCATATTGGTTAAGAACATGGACTCTGGAATCACATGTTCAAATCTTCCCCCAACCACTTTGTGCTAGGTGACCTTGGGTAGTCTCAATTTTCCTTATAAAATGGTCATAAATGCTGTTGTCTCCCACACTGGATCATTGTGAGGATAAGGATATTAATAAAAAGGACAGATTATATAGAGTTGTTTGGAGGACACGTGAGCATGCAAAATGCTTCACCTTAATAAGCACTTAATAAAATGGTTAATTTTCATCAAACCTCAGTCATTCTTTTATTTTGTATTTTAGTTTTTCAAGTTGAATTCGCTACTTCTGAAAAGACAATTTTTTTAAATTACCCTGAGGTGTTCAATAGCAGAACTATTCGTGCTGTGATCACATTGGTATGGAACACTCAACCGCCCACACTGCTCTTGCCCACCTTCCCCTCCTCAGCAGGATATGGAGGCACATACCACATGTTTCTTTCTTTTATCTTTATCATTCCTTCACTGTACTGCAGATCTATTGGGAGATTGCTTAACAGTGCCATTTGGAGGGAAGAATGGTGTTATAAACTGAAATAGCTTTCTTTGCATGTCTTGGCCAGGTTGTATATAGTGACCTGGCCACCACAGGCACAGAATGGACCAACAGGCACGAAAAGGCAAAGCAGCACTTCACAGCTGAATCCCCCCTTAGGGATTCTCTCCTGGATGTGGTGGAAAGCCAAGGAGCTGCCCCATGGTCAGGAGTGGGGGTCCAAGTAGTGGTGCAGCGAGTTTACTCACTACCTGGCAGAGATGGCACCGGAAGCCAGCAGGATACTAGCTCAGGGCATGCTGATCTACCTGGGCCCCGGTGAGTAATTGCATGGCAGAGTTTGAGCATGGGTGGGGAGAGTCAACTAGACAAAGGGTTCAAGAAAGGGGGACTCTGCCTCTAGCACTTTCTAGGCTGTATGGATTATTGTTATGTATATTTTTCTTGTATCAAAATTTGGGACAAATGATATGATGAAGGATTTTATCTGCTTATTTATTTATATAAAAAATCTAAAAATTGAAGTTGTTACCTTAAGTTTTACTTTAGTGGCTCATATTATTGAAAGTAATATAAAAAGTAAGATATATTGTTATTATTCTAGAAAAGCCAAGACATATGACCACCATACCTAAAAAGACCATTTAACTACATTGTTTTATAAGTCTTGAAAACCTGAGTAAATATAGCAATTAAAAATTCTGTGGCTTTCAGAGGTTGCCGTTTCAAACATTGAACACCAGCGATGCCTAATAGAACTTCTGCTATGATGTTAAGTGTTATATATTACACTGGGTTTGCAGGAGCCTCTGACCACATGTAGTTAATTGTGCACATGAAATGTGGCTACTGCTAGAGATGTAGAGTGCACTCCCTAACCACCAAACTAAACAATCTGTTTTCATATTTCTTCTGTAAAACAGTTCTTGATGGTCCTGATATTATCCAAGGTCATTTGGTTCAATTTCTTCTTAGCCTCATCTTTCTACTGCTAATTTTAATTAAATACTGAACGTTTATGTTCTTTGCCAGTCTTCCTGTTCCCATTCTGACTTACTGCAAAGGGTAGAATATTATAAGGGCCCATGAATTACATAGCTAGTGCTTATTGTTCTTTACCATATACACAGAGATATATAGAAATTGGAACTTGACTAAAGGGAAGCTAAGAGAATCTATCTTAACCTTCTCTGTTTTTAAAAGAGTTTTATTAACTCCCATTTGTATACAGTATGTCAAAATGCATTATGCTATCGTGTATAACTAATCAGAACAAATTTTTAAAAATAAAGTTTAAGATATAATATGTCCAAAACTAAATAAAATAAAACCTGTATCAGTTACTAAAAATTAAAAAAGAGCTGTATTGATAAAGTTCACATCCCATAAATATGATCTATTGAAAGTGTACAACTTAATGATTTTTAATTATATTTATTGAATTATTCAATCATAATTATAATATGGGAACAGTTTTGTGATACGCCCCCAACAAAAGAAACCCCATATCAGTTTACTGCCAAGCCCCTATTCTTCTCAATTCCTGACAACCACTGATCTAATATATTATATTTCTACAAATTTGCCTATTCTGGGCATTTCATTTAAGTAGAATCATATAGTTTGTATTCTTTGGTGACTGATTCTTTTATTTAGCATGTTTTCAAGGTTTATTCCTATTGTAAAATATATAAGTGCATCATTTTTGGCCTAATAATAACATATTTTAGGAATATACCATACTCTATTAGTTGATGCACATATGGGTTGTTTCCACTTTTTGACTAATATGAATAGTGCTATTGTAAACATTTGTACAAGTTTTTTGTTTAGACATATGTTTTCAGTTCTGTTGGGTGTATAATTAAGAGTAGAATTGCTGGGCCATATGGTAACTCATTGTTTAAACCTTTGAAAAACTATTTTCCAAAATGGCTGCACCATTTTACATTCCTGCTAGCAAGGTATGGAGTGTTCCAGTTTCTTCATGTCTGCTATAAAATTTATAGCCATCCAATGGGTTTGAACTGGTATGTCTAGTGGTTTTGATTTGTATTTCCCATAGTGGTTTTTATTAGTGATGTTAGGCATTTTTTCTTGTGTTTATTGGCTATTTGTATATTTCCTTTAAAGGAAAGTCTTTCAAATCCTTTGCCTGTTTTTTTTTTTTTTTAATTTGGTTATTTTTATTACTGAGTTGAGTCCTTTATATATACTGGATACATGTTTCTTATCAAATAGAATTTGTAAATATTTTTCCTACAATGTATTTTTTCACTTTTTTTTTTTTTTGAGAGAGAGAATTTTAATATTTATTTTTTTTAGTTTTCGGCGGACACAACATCTTTGTTTGTATGTGGTGCTGAGGATCGAACCCGGGCAGCGTGCATGCCAGGCGAGCGCGCTACCGCTTGAGCCGCATCCCCAGCCCTATTTTTTTCACTTTTTGATAGCGTCCTTTGAAACACAAAGGAGGTTTATAATGTTCACAACATCCAACATCTTTTTTTTATTATTGTTATTGCTGCTTATGCTTTTGGTATTAAATCTAAAAAACTATTGCCTAATCCAAGGTAACAAAAAATTCTGTGTTTTCTTCTGAGAGTTTTATAGTCTGTGCCCTTACATTTAGGTCTACATTTGGAGTTAATTTGTGTTTATGGTCCTGCATTATGTGTTGGACCCTCCCAATAGGTAAGGATTATATATATATTTTTTAACTCTTTTAATTTGTTCTAATTAGTTATACATGACAGTTGAATACATTTTGACACATTGTACACAAATGGAGCACAACTTATCATTCCTCTGGCTATACATGGCAGGGAGTCACAGCAGTAGTATAATCATACATTCTATAGGGTAATAATGTCTGTCTAATTCTACTGTCCTTCCCACCCCCACAGTCGCTCCCCTCCCCTCACTCACTCTGCAATATCCAAAGTTTTTTCATTCTTCCCTACCCCCGCCTCCACCCCCAAATATGGATCAGCATATGCATATCAGAGAAAGCATTCAGCCTTTGGTTTTGGGGGGATTAGCTTATTTCACTTACATGATATTCTCCAGTTCTATCCATTTACCTGCAAATGCCATAATTTCATTTTTCTTTAAGGCTGAGTGATATACGATTGTGTATATGTACCACATTTTCTTTATCCATTCCACTGCTGAAGGGCATCTAGGTTGGTTCCATAGTTCAGCTATTGTGAATTGTGTTGCTATAAACATTGATATGGCTATGTCCCTGTGGTATGCTTTTTTTAAGTCCTTTGGGTATAAACTGAGGAGTGGAATAGCTGGGTCAAATGGTGGTTCCATTCCAAGTTTTCCAAGTAATCTCCATACTGCTTTTCAGATTGGCTACACCAATTTGCAGTCCCAGCAGCAGTGTATGAGTGTGCCTTTTTCCCCACATCCTGGTCAACACTATTGTTGTTTATATTCTCAATAGCTGCCATTCTGACTGGAGTGAATTGAAATCTTAGAGTCGTTTGGATTTGCATTTCTCTAATTGCTAGAGATGATGAACATTTTTTATATGTTTGTTAATCAATTGTATTATTCTTTCTTCTTCCTCCTCCTCCTCCTTTTTTTTTTTTTCTTTTTTTTGGTGTCAAATTTTTGAGTTTTTTATATATCCTGGAGATTAGTGCATGTGGTAAAGATTTTCTCCCATTCTGTAGGCTCTCTCCTCATGTTATTGATTGTTTCCTTTGCTGAGAAGAAGCTTTTTAGTTTGAATCCATCCCGTTTATTGATTCTTAATTTTACTTCTTGCACTTTAGGAATCTTGTTGAGGAAGTCAAGTTTAAGCTGACATGATGAAGATTTCGGCCTGCTTTTTCTTCTATTAGTCACAGGTTTTCTGTTCTAGTGCCTAAGTCTTTGATTCACTTTGAGTTTATTTTTATGCAGGATTTTGATAGAGGTTTAATGTCATGTTGCTACATGTAGATTTCCAGTTTTCCCAGCACCACTTGTTGAAGAGTCTATCTTTTCTCCAGTGTATCTTTTGGAATCTTTTAGATAACCATATTTATGTGGGTTTGTCTCTGTCTCTTCTGTTTTGTACCATTGGTCTAGATGTCTGTTTTGGTGCCAATACCATGCCGTTTTTGTTACTATTGCTTATAGTTTAAGCTCTGGTATTGTGATGCCTCCTGTTTCATTCTTCTTGCTAAGGATTGCTTTGGCTATTCTGGGTCTCTTATTTTTCCAAATGAATTTCATGATTGATTTTTCTAGTTCGATGAAGAATGTCCTTGATATTTTAATAGGAATTACATTAAATCTGTATAACACTTTTGGTAATATGTCCATTTTGACAATGTTAATTCTGCCTAACCTAGAGCATGGGAGATCTTTTCATCTTCTAAGGTCATCTTCAATTTCTTTCTTTACTGTTCTGTAGTTTTCATTGTAGAGGTCTTTCTCCTCTTTTGTTAGATTGTTTCCCAAAGTTTGTTTTTTGTTTTTGTTGTTGTTGTTATGTGTTTTGTTTGTTTGAGGCTATTGTGATGGGGTAGTTTTCCTAATTTGTCTTGCAGTAGATTCATCACTGATATATAGAAATGCGTGAGATTTATGGGTACTGATTTTATATCCTGCTACTTTACTGAATTGATTTATTAGTTCTAGAAGTTTGGGGGTGGAATTTTTTGGATCTTCTAAATATAAAATCGTGTCATTAGCATATAGTGATAGTTTGAGTTCTTCTTTTCCGATTTGAATCCTTTTAATTTCTTTTATCTGATTTTGCTCTGGCTAGAGTTTTTAGGACTATGTTGAATAGAAGTGATGAAAGAGGCCATCCCTGTCTTGTTCCAGTTTTTAGAGGAAATTCTTTCAATTTTTCTCCTTTTAGAATAATGTGGCCTTGAGAGCATATCTATTTAGCATAGAGAGCTTTTACAATATTAAGGTACGTTCGTACTATCCCTGGTTTTTCTAGTGTTTTGAACATGAAGGGGTGCTGTATTTTGTCAAATGCACCTATTAAGATAATCATGATTCTTGTCTTTAAGTCTATTGATGTGATGTATTATGTTTATTAATTTCCCTAAGTTGAACCAACCTTGCAACCCTGAGAGGAACCCCACTTGATTGTGGTGCATTATCTTTTTTTTTTTTTTTAATATTTTTTTATTGGTTGTTCAAAACATTATAAAGCTCTTGACATATCATATTTCATACATTAGATTCAAGTTGGTTATGAACTCCCAATTTTACCCCAAATACAGATTGCAGAATCACATCGGTTACACATCCACATTTTTACATAATGCCCTATTAGTAACTGTTGTATTCTGCTACCT